ATTTGAACCGAGCAACAATGTGACATCGCGACAACACGTCGCACGACAACGTGCCGTTTGGCGTGTCGCGCTAGAGACAGGACGACAAGACGACAGCGCGACAACGCGCTAAACGGCAATGTGACAATGTGACAGCGCGACAACACGCCGCACAACAACGTGTTGTTTGGCGTGCCACGCTAGAGACAGGACGACAAGAAGACAGCGCGTTGTCGTGTTGTCGCTAGCGCCAACGAGACGCACAAAATCGTTTCAAATCAGCTACCATAATATTCTCTTTTTATTATCATACTTTAAGGCTTTAATAAACGTGATTTTAAGTTATGTCACCCGGGAAAAAAGGAATTTGGTATGACTTCAAGCAGTAAATACGTAAAACTGGTTTTGATATCTATAACAGATATAGGAAAATATGCGGAAATAACAACTCAATGATCCAAAAGTACATACATAAGTCTCCTGTTTAAAGTACGTTTCTTTATACGGCTATTTTATAAGTGATTTAACTTGAAACTATAACAATAATCGGACTTTGAATTTACCATCAATAAACAATTTCTTCAACACGCAAATTTAAAACTAAACGGTATTTATATTACCAGTCATTGCAAACTAAACTGCATGGTAATAATGTATTTATTTTCAAAATAACATTGCAAATCATTGTTTAACTGATATAAAAAAACTATATTAAATATCACTTATATGACATTATGACATTTAATGTAAGTTGCTGAGTGCTTAGAAAACCGGATGTATGTATGTGTGTACGTGTGTCTATGTGTGTGTTGTTGTTATGAGTTTTTGTTTGTTTGTTTGTTTTATTTTGTTTTCTTTTTTCTCGAAAATTCATGCGCATGACTTTGCGGGATCCACAATTTTTTTTGTGGTACCGTTATTTTTAGACAACAATTTTAACTCGATAATTAGATTTTAAAAGCGAGGTAAAACATATATGTTGGAGGATATTTAAACAGATAAAAAAGAGAAAAAACTTAAAAGTCTAAGAAACTTCAGAGGAAGTTCATTTCCGGAACTAATTTTGATTATTTAAAAAGCACGTGTAAACCATTTAAGAAAAATCTTTTATATTGTTTTGCTTATAATGATTTCGCTTCGTATTTTTAAAATGACCAACGAAAATTATATTTACAGTTAAACTTCGTTCGCTCGAACTCGAATCGCTGGAATACCTCACTTCACTCGAACTCATCGCAAAATTCCTATATAATATATAGTGTTCTACCTCGGATCGCTCGAACACCGATCGCTCGAACTCTCGAACCTGATCGCTGGTCCCTTGGGCAGAAAGGTAATTAAAATCACACTTTTTCGGTAAAACACAAAAAGGCAACAAAAGTTGCGGGTCGACATGTTCTAAATGACAGCCGGCGACACATGGTTAAAGTGTTTGTCGGTATTTTGCCGGTGTTATATATTAGTGGAATTTAGTATCGACAAAAATGTATGGATGTTCAAATACTGGTGTGTATATATCTGTATTGTAGGTTATTTTTCCTCAAAGTTATTCCTTTTTGCTAATTTTAGTATCGGTACCCGGCACGACGGAAACGGAAATAGTTATCTGTCTTCTTCCCTGTATGTAATGGCTCCCTGCTAACCATTCATATATAATATCTGAACTCTTGATGAAACTCTAAAACAAATAATGCATTGATAACATGATATAAAGCATATTGAATTCACCATTTCTCTCGCTTGTATAAAAAGTGCGAGATGTGTCTATGCACGTTGACATATTTCCTGTAGTTTATAATGTACATATGTTAAAGCGCATATTGTCATGTTATTTATGAATCGAGTATAAATAAAAGGTGTAAGAATAGTATCGAGATGTGACGCTATTGTTATACATTCAGTCTATCAATGTGTTACTCAATTGTCTTCCAGTCAGTATATCAATGTATGCCGCTATTGTCTGCCAGTCGGTATATCGGTGTGTGATGCTATTTCCTGCAAGTCAGTACATCAATGTGTGACGCTATTGTCTGCCAGTAAGTATATCAATGTGTGACGCTAGTTTTTGCTAGTCAGTATATCAATGTGTGATGCTAGTTTCTGCCAGTCAGTATATCAATGAGTGACGCTAGTTTCTGCAAGTCAGTATATCAATGTGGGATGCTAGTTTCTGTCAGTCTGTATATCAATGCGTAACGCTATTATCTGCCAGTCAGTATATCAATGTATGGCACCATTGTCTGCCAGTCAGTATATCAATGTCGGACGCTATTTTCTGCCAGTCAGTATATCAATGTGTGACGCTTTTGTCTGCCAGTCAGTATATCAATGTTGTACGCTAGTTTCTGCCAGTCAGTATATCAATGTGTGACGCTTTTGTCTGCCAGTCAGTATATAAAGGTGGGACGCTAGTTTCTGCCAGTCAGTATATCAATGTGTGACGCTTTTGTCTGCCAGTCAGTATATAAATGTGGGACGCTAGTTTCTGTCAGTCAGTATATCCAAGTGTGACGCTTTTGTCTGCCAGTCAGTATATCAATGTGTGACGCTATTATCTGCCAGTCAGTATATCAATGTGGGACGCTATTTTCTGCCAGTCAGTATATCAATGTGTGACGCTTTTGTCTGCCAGTCAGTATATAAATGTGGTACGCTAGTTTCTGCCAGTCAGTATATCAATGTGTGACGCTTTTGTCTGCCAGTCAGTATATCAATGTATGACGCTATTATCTGCCAGTCGCTACATCAATGTGGGACGCTATTTTTTGCCAGTCAGTAAATCAATGTATGACGTCATTTTCTGTCACTCAGTTTATCAATGAATTTCGCCATTGACAGTTATATATTTATGTGTGGCGCTATTAATGTGTAGATAATTTTATTTATACCGGCCACATTAATTAACCATCTTACGCGCACTTGTTGGTCCGGCTCTAGATTCCACATCAGCGGCGACTTTTCAGGCAGAATCTGTCAACTAGTCTATAAGCTGCACGTGACAGTTTCAAAATTAATGCACGGTTTGAAAACTTGGATATTTTGTTAAAATCAAGCGTTTGTTTAAAAACGTTTGAATCTTAAAAACAAAAAGTCACATCATCGCTATTTGAAGGGATCTTGAATCGGTTGAAAAATCCTCTATTTCGGACATCTCAGAAATCCTTGTCGGGATAGCGTACAACTAAAAGAGCACTACTTCAATATTACTTTAATAATTTACACAATATTTTCCTTTTTCAACATAATACTAAATACATGGAAAGTCATACTCTGTTTAGAACGAATAAATAATGTCCACCTTTCTTTTGATGTATTCAGTTTACATCAAGTTCAGATAATAATGATTGTTTCCCCAATAAACAGCTACATAGCTGGTAAGCGACGTTTAATTTATGTTGTCTTCAATTTTCAGGATTTGGTCTCCTTTAACAATTATTATCAAATGTTCAAGTTTTTCAAATGACTTCCCAAGTAGTATTTTTGTTTCTGTCAAATGCCTCCTTGGTCCTTTTAATATTTTTTGTCTATTTACTACATGTAGTATATGACTAGGTACATGAATATATGAAGTGTTTTGCGTATTTCTGTCTTTTGCTATGTATACTGTCCTATATGGTAAGTGTCTCATTTCCGAAACCCCTCATTTTCTACATTTTCTTTCTTCTTTTGAGGACAATCAAGTGACGGTGCGTCAAAAATATTGAAATTTCTCGGCGAAAAAAAAAATAACATCGTTTAACAGTATATAAAATATGTTCCGGCCTGGTTTCGACATATTTCTCTCTCCAATATTGTGTATTTGTGTTTTCCCTATGTGACTTGAAAATGCGACAGCGGTGGTGGGGGTACACTTCTATTGACAACGCTTCCCCTTGCTAATTATTCTTTATTTTTGATATTTTATAGACTATTTCGATAGTGTTTCAATAGGTTTATAACAGTTTAACAATTAACTAGAAATAAAAAACAACTTTTAACATATTGTCTACATGTATATTTTTCCGCTAACCTTTTTTTATCTGTTATTATTAATCACAATGATAGGCTAAGTATTAAAACAGTCAGTGTAAACAATAAAAATGGCAGAGGGGTGCACTCATTTTCCCATCAGAAAGTTCAAGCTATACGGTGGCATAGAGGGGACATCAGAAATATTTTATCTATCACGTGCGCACGCGATGGGGGACATCAGAAATATTTTATCTATCACGTGCGCACGCGATGGGGGACATCAGAAATATTTTATCTATCACGTGCGCACGCGATGGGGGACATCAGAAATATTTTATCTATCACGTGCGCACGCGATGGGGGACATCAGAAATATTTTATCTATCACGTGCGCACGCGATGGGGGACATCAGAAATATTTTATCTATCACGTGCGCACGCGATGGAGGACATCAGAAATATTTTATCTGTCACGTGCGCACGCGATCGGGGACATCGGAAAATATTTTAATACCACGCGCGCATGCGATAGCTACCACGTGCGCACGCTATGACTACTACGTGCGCACGCGATAGCTACTACGTGCGCACGTACAATTCATTACGTGCGCACGCGATAGCTTTTAATAGCGATAGCTTTAATTTCAAACAAGTCATGAATAAGCACTTCTCTGTCCAATTTAGAAATGGAAGGTATTCCGTGCGCACGTAGTAGTTATCGCGTGCGCACGTAGTAGTTATCGCGTGCGCACGTAGTAGTTATCGCGTGCGCACGTAGTAGCTGTCGCGTGCTCACGTATTAGTAGTAGCGTGCGCACGTAGTAGCTATCGCATGCGCACGTGATAGATAAAATATTTCTGATGTCCCCATCGCGTGCGCACGTGATAGATAAAATATTTCTGATGTGTCCATTGCGTGCACACGTGATAGATAAAACATTTCTGATGTCCCTCATCGCGTGCGCACGTGATAGATAAAATATTCTGATGTCCCCTCTATGCCACCGTAAAGCTACGATTGCGAACTCATATCCGTTTTGAAAGTAAGCGACGTGAGGTTTAATCACTCATTGTTTAATTTCATGGAAACAGTTTTATAAATAAATTTAAAGCTTTGTAACGGGAAGTAAATCTGTTTATCCAATTAAAACGAGGCTTGTTTCGCCTTCAGATCTGCCGGTAGCCGTGAGCAAATACTTTGTTAAAAAAACTACGACATTGTGGCATAATGTATTTTTATCAAAACAATGTCTATCTTACAAACAGACGACTGTTTGCTATGTTGCTATTTTGTCTAAAACATAATTGTTTTGACAGTCTGTGAAATACTCGTATACTTGGAATAGTTTCGATACAATCGAATGGACCCAAAATATGGAATTAAATTGTTTGTTCAGGTATGTTACAGATTTTCTGAACGGACATGGTTACTAGACATTACCAATATCTATCAATTGAGGTATGTGAGTTAATAGAGGGATGAACGGATAGATGGATAGATGATAAGGTGCATGAATGATTGTATGGCTTGGTGAGTGTGTAGTTGGATGAGTAGGTGATTAGGTAGTTTGACGGGTAGGTGATTGGGTAGTTGGATTTGTAGGTGATAGTTTAGATTGACAGGTGGGTTATTTGGCTTGATGAATGGGTTGGTAAGTGGGTAGATGGGTGCGTAATAAGAATGATGATGAATTGTTTAAGCAATGACATTAGCAATGTGTTGAATAATATAATATCATGCTACAGGTTGGCTTACACATATATAGTTAACATTGAACACTAATTCCATGCATGACACAAAGTAGGATGAAAACATAGCCTTAGAACCAGTGTTGTCTCTCGTATTGTTTGCATGATAAGTTTTGTTTATTTTTCACCCATAAGGGGTAAGACCCATGTGGTAAACCATACATATACATACTTATATGTCAACATGATAATATGAGTCATATTCAGAGGCAACATTAACCAAAAAATAAAATTAAAATGTATCATTATTGTATTATATTACATTTTGTATTTATTACACAGAGTCATATCCGGATACACACATGTACAACAAATCAGCATGAAATAGAAACAATCATATAATCTACTCAATCTTCTCAATTGAATTAAGGTCTTGCCAATTAATGCGCTAAATACGCTGCCTCTTGAGGTTGCCCTGGGCAACCCGTGACCTGAAGGAACGCGCATTGCCGTCCAAGGAAATGAAATGATCGCCTAATGTCCCGGCATACAGCATAACCTGTTACTAACATCCATCACAACGATGTACTGCTTACCAGTCTATTTAGTGAAGTATAAGATGCATGTCTCCAGTTTTGTCGTGTCCACCTAATATGCTCCCTCGACAATTCAAAACGAGCTTGACGGTCACGATGAAGATGAGTCAATGGAATCTTTAAACAAGGTTTTCTTGATTACAGATTATCCTCTTGTATTGGCGCACAGTCGGGGTAGAAACATTGACAAAAGAAGCATTTAGAAGGTAATAACGTTGTAGCCGCAGATCACGCACGGTGGGCCTATTTAGAAGGTCATTACGTTGTAGCCCCAAATCAAAGGCGGACCTTTAAAGAAGATCATAACGTTGTAGCCCAAGTTAACGCAGGACGGGCCTATTTAGAAGGCCATAACGTAAAACCTTGCTTTTATAACATATTAGATGTTAGATGTTTATAACTTGTTGACAACAATGCTGAATGTTATTTTTTTGTCTTTCACACTTAATACTACATCACTATAACTTTTCTAATGGCGAAGAAGGATAAGAAGCAAAGATATCGTTAAACTATACGGCAAATAAGTTCCTTGTTTTGTTTGTTTGGTTTTCCCTCGCACCAACACTGTAAAGGTCATATGGCTAATTTCGTGCTTTAAAGGAAGACCTCAGGGGTCCCTCCGTGCCTTTTTTTAGGGACGAAGGACCACGTGTGTATAACCAGTGGCGTTCCGTTAGCTAGCTGGATAGCTTCCTTACATATAAAAATCCAAGTGCCTGGGAGAATTTGAACCCACAGCGGTAAAAAACAAGTGGTATGAGTCAACGACTTTAACCACTTTGCCACGGGCGTCCTGTCAAATACCTGTATACACTCACTCCACTTCAAGATCGAGTTGATAAAAAATCTAATTATGTAGCAATTGTCAATGAAAAAGTTAAACACAAACACACAGTTACAATTCATGGAATGTCGAAATAACTGGACAACCCGAGTTTTCACGTGGTCAAAAACGGATGGAAAAATTTTGTGGAGTTGCCAATAGATGTATGCAGACACCCCCAGTCCTCATTAGTTCTGCTCTCTTTCACACACAAACAAAAACAAAGCAACATAAATAATTAAATAAATAAATAAATAAATAAATAGATAAATAAATAAATGAATAATAAATAAATAAATAAATAAACAAAAAAAATAAAAAATAAATAAATAAATAAACAAACAAACAAACAAACAAACAAATAAATAAATAAATAAATAAATAAATAAATAAAAATAACCAGAGAAGCGGAATGCTTTCCGTGACCACTTGGCGACACGATAAAACATTTTTGGTTGAGGGCCGTATAAAAACATTGTAGAATCAAACTATGGAAGGGGCGTCCGTGGCCGAGTGGTTGAGGTCGTTGACTTCAAACCACTTGCCCCTCACCGCTGTTGGTTCGAATCCCGACAGGGACTTTGGATTCTTTGATATGAGGAAGCTATCCAGCTAGCTTACGGAACGTCGGTGGTTCTACTCGGGTGCCCGTTCGTGCCTGAAATAATGCACGAAACGGCACCTGAGGTCTTCCTCCACCAGTAAAGCTGGAACGTCGCGATATGACCTATACTGTGTCGATGTGACGTTAAACCCAAAACAAACAAACAAACAAACTATGGAAAATGAATTATTGAATATTCTTTTTTTAAAAAAAGATGTAGATTATATGAGTAAATTTTTTTCGTTGTTCATTTCATAAAAGTTTACTTTTTAATACGTTTTTATCTATTACTTTATATAATGTTTTGGATCTAATGGTTGTGATTTTCATTTATTTGTCTCAATGATAAGTGGTATAAAGTAAGATAATTATTTATAAAAAATTGATGTGTATTGAGGAAAATAATTTATGTACCATTAGATAACGTAGTACATGATACATGCCCATGAAGCCGATCATTAATTATAATTGAAGCGGTTGTGTGACACACACAATCACGCTTGTATTGTAAACAAAAGAGCCACCTCTTTAATATATACGATAAATATACATGGAATAGCATTCTTTGATTTTTAATATTCGATGCAGAGTTTATAAGACAATACTATATATACGTCTGTTGACACTTAAATCGGGCGACATGCACTGGCTCGTAAGTAGCAATAGAGCACTTTATCGTAAACATTGTAAAGAAATAACTCTGTTTTTGTCAGTTACAGGCGTACTTTTCAATCTGTAAAACATCAAGGGTACATTAAAACATATTTATAATAATATAATGCTTTTCTTCTATATCAAACTGAAATTAACTAGCTCTTCCTGTTCTAAATGTATACAATGAGATGATATAAACTTTATGTATCACATCATCATCATATTTACGTTAGGGTTTCAATATGGCACTAAAAAACTATCCAGTAAATGGCTCATAGAACAGAATGCTAAGCGAAACATTTGTAATCATTAGGAATATATTGAAAATTTTAAAAAAAGTTAAATAGACACGATTTCCGTTATATTTAAAGTGGTCATGGTCATAAAAGAGTTATCACTTACATTTAACGCAAAAAGTGCAATGATATGTAGATTGTTAACGCCATTCGGGGTTCATTTCAAGATTTTGACCCCAAAGGTGCATTTGACACCAAAGTGCGATGTAACACTTACCCCCTACGCTATTTTTCAAATTTATATATACTTATGTATTATTTTGAGAGCATTGAGGGGGTGTATATTGAAGTATTTTAGATGTAAATATTAAAATGTCATTACAGAGTGATACAATGTATAAAATATCTATGCTAAGTGGTGCATCATACTAAGCAGCTTCTATTAAGTGATTTAAATAATTCAACGGGAAATATCAATTCAACCAAATTGCTTGTTAATTTTTAATTTTAATGTATAACAGGAGCTTCCGTGGCCAGATAAATAAGGCCGCCGTAAGTTTTGAATTGAACGGAAGTCATGCACTTGATATACGGATCTTGGCGAAGTGTTATGCGAGAGACAACTCATCATATTGATCTGCATAATTATTTCAAATATATGTATTTAATATGATTTGTATTTAATTAATCAATTAATGACGACTGTAGATCAGGAAGTTGACTAAATTTATATAAATGCAAGTGTAATACGGAACTAAAATAATTTTCCATGAATAAGGCCAAAATTATGTTTATATTATTATATTATATAATATATTTATTCTATCCTACTGAATATTTGTTCATAATAAACATATGTGTGCGATCATTTTTTTATGTATGTTCGATATTTGAAACTATGTATTGTATAATTAAAAATAGTTATTGTATACTGAAAAATATTTATTCGTTTATTTGAATCATGGGATAGAATCACACTTAGCATATTAAGCCCCGCCTATAGATTAAGCACGAATTTCTGATTTTTTGGTTATCATCCTGTTGGATGTTTGGTCATCACTATGATGTAGTGAAAATAATCATTGTGACTGGAAATGTCACTGGTAAAAAGTGCTTATGCTTAATCCTCCTCATAAATAGATACGTATGTCTAAAATTGGAAATATATTTAAAGTCTTTATTGCATACAATTGTATAATAATGGTTTTTCATATGCAACAATATGAACCTGTGTGAAGATATCATGTACGATGACTAAAGGGTCATATAAATGTTCTCTAGTTCTTTTGAAAAAAAATATATATGTGGAATAACATATAACAGCCAATAGATCATCTTCATGAACATATACTCTAGTTTTTTTTATAGAAGATGTATCAGGGGATAATGTAAGATTAGCAGGGGACCATCTAGATGTACATATACATCAGTTATTATGGAATATATATGAGGGGTTACCTTAGATAACCAGGAGGTATTTTACATGTATAAACACTCTAGTTCTTATAACATATATGTGGTGATTAGGTAAGATGAGGGAATAAGTGGGTTTTGGATGATCACTTTGAAAAACATATTCTCATAGATTAATTGTGTTACTTAAAACCTAAAGTTATTAACACCTATTTCATCTTGCACGAACCATTTATACATATTGTGGAATAAAAAAGAGCATGATCATCTGGTCATCTAACGTGATCCCCAAAATAAGTTCAATGTGAACTAAAGTATATGAACAACCTTGTAGTCTTCTATGAACCCCTAATACATGATTCTAAAATGAATAGAGCATGTA